ACCCTTTGCCTTATGGAACTCAGTGATTTTAAACCAATTTATTGACTTCTGTGGGCCTCAATTTTTCATTTATAAAATGAAGGACATTAGAATAATTATCAATGACATCTTTTTTTGTTTAAAAATTCTGTATATTTTTTTAAGGTGAATATGTTTTCCAGAACCATTTCATTCTAGTGATGCTTTTGGATTTTTACATTTTAAGAGAAAGCTATCATTTTAGTTGAATTTGCTTTTTACTGCTTTGCAGATAGATTGTAAATTTTTGGCTCTATATTCTTGAAATAAAAGTTTTAGACTATGTATGAGTATTTCATTATGCCTTTGTTTTTCTTTTAGTAACTGGACATACTTGTGCAGTTTACTAAAATGTGTTGCATTAGTAACTTTGAAGTAAGCAATAGAGTTGATTGATCTCACTGTTGCATACTATATTATAGGATAGCATTAAGAAAGTTGGAAAATTATTTTAGAAATAATTTATTCCAACTCTTCCCACTTAACAGATAAAAGAACACACTCCAAATTGGGTGTTAACTTATATGTTAGCTTATTAGAAAAGAACATTCATCATAATGTCATTTATTCATTCAACTTTAAGGCCAGGCTCTGCACAATTTTTACCTTTCTTGTTTGATATTAAATAGCTCAGTCTGTCTTTGATGAATAATGGAATTCCTTTCTCACTTCTCAAATTTATTTGGCATTCAAATCCTACCCATTCTGTTTCTTTCTTTATTCTGTCCTTAGTAATTCAGCAAACATTTAGGATACATATACTCAGTATTGAGGAAAACATCACCTTCTCTAATTGAAGTTTTTGTCAGACTTTGAAATCTTTCTGTCCTCTTCTTACTGAGAGCCATAGTGGTGGGGAGTCCTGTTGCCGCTTTCTTCACGTATTCTTTGTTTGAGGAAGACAGGCAACGAACAATAATTGTAAAATATTTGGTAGTGATCGATGCTCTGAAGAAAAACAAAAAGTGGTTAATGGCTAGTTGTATTAGGGTTTTCTAGAGGAATAGAACTAATAGAAAATGTATATATAATGCAAGTATATAAAAATACACATATACATGCACACATATAAGGTATGTGTGTGAATATATATGTGTATAAATGACAGGATTACAAGATCCGCAGTGGGAGAGTCCACAGTGGCTGTCTGCATGCCCAAGAGGCACAGCATCCAGTAGCTGCTCAATTTGAGAATCTGGAAGCCTTAGAACAAGAAGGCTTTCAGTACGCAGTGCCAGTGTGAATGAAGGCCTGGAAGCCTGTTCGTATTCACTGGTGCATATGCGTGCATTTGTGAGTGTTGAAGACTAAGAAGCTGGAGTCTGATGGCAGGCGATGGCAGGAGGAAAGACCTACCTCGTCAAGAAGAATGGAGCTTTTCAAATGCAGGCAAACTTCCTCCTCCTTTTCGTTTGACCCTGCCTAAAAGCCTACTGGATGATGAAGGGCACCGGCCTCTGTGCCAAGCATCACCAGATGCCCCACAGGCGCAGCCAGAAGTGTGCTTTATTCATCAGCTAGGCATCTCTCAACCCTGTCATATTGACAGGATTAATTGTCATGTAGTGAAAAACATGGAACACCTTGCAGGAGTAGTCAGGGACTGTCTCTTTTTTAAGGTGATGTTTATGCTTCATCCTTGAGGAAATAAGCATGCAGTGCCTGGGAGAGTAGCACACAAAACCCAAAGATAGTAAGTGCAGCAGTCTTGGGACAGGGCTAGCTTATAATGAGTGAAGAGAGCCAATGACAGTAGTTGGAAGGAGTTAGGAAGTCAGTGATGTGTTCTGGGGTAATGGGAAAGAGTTTTTCTTAACATCTATTAATTGTATTAACATATTCACATGGTATATTTTAAAGGAGTTCAGTATAATATTTCAGTCTACACCTTCATTGTGCACTGATCAAATTGGGCCTCCTTTAATCCCTCCTTCGCCTTCTTATTTTTGGGAAATTTGTGCAGATGTGTGATATTTCACCATTCAACAGATACTTATTGACCACCCACTGTGCCAGATACGGTGCTGTATTTTACATGCTGTGGACATAGTGAATAATTCTTGGTATCATAGAGATTACATTTCATACTCTTTTTGATTGTACTTAAATTTGGAAAGGCTTTTCCTAACTGCTGTATCGGAGAGAGAGAGTGTGGCATTTCATTGGCAAGGGTTATTTCAGTAGTACTGGTGAGAAATGCTCATGGTCTGGGTGAGAGGAGTTACAGTGAAACTGTTGCAAAGTACACAGGGCTTGTTGAGTTTGGAGCACACACACAGTTACATTATTTCAGAGTTTGTTAAGCAGTTGCAGAGGAAGATCAGGGCAACAGGGTTTTCTGAAGGATTGCTTGTGGATCATGAGGGGAAAAAGAAGAGAAATTAAAAATAATTTCAAGATACTTGACACAGTTGGAAGATTGGTAGTGGAAAACCAAGAGTTTGACATTGAACTTTCAGATTCCTTTTCAGTATCCATATAACAAAGATAATAGGCAGTTAGATGAATGAATCTGGCTATCACCCATGGCAGGGTTTGGAAATATCTGTACTGAGGAATTACATGAAGGTACATGAGTGATAGACTCATGATTCACTAGAAAAGAGATTAGATCCCCAGGGGACTCTCCTGTAGAAGTTGGGGCAATAAAGACGAGGCAGCAATATTTACTAAAAAGTGATACAGTAGAAAGAGAACCATTTCAGAGTCCAAGCAAAGAAGATATTTGGCCCGATGAGGACAGCAATAGAGATAGGATAAGTTTTGAATCTTTACAGATTTTATTATGAAACTAGAGTAACTATGATAAAGGAAAACTGCACATATCATCAGCGAAAAATCAGATGATTATATGAATTTTAGAATACAAACTGGTAGGGGTAATAGCACTAAGATATGCGTGTTTAGCACATTTGCCCTTGAGTGTGTGTTGGGGAAAGGTCCTGAGAGCTTAGGACACAGGCATTGCCACCCTAGAAGGACCCTTTGACAGTCAACATGGAGGATTAGAAGATAGAGCCAAGAACAGCAGGAAAACTAAGGAAGTTATTTGAGCCCTCATTCTTCTTGGGAATACCCCGAGAAAGTACTCTTCCTAAACCATGGAGCTGTGTCATGAAGAGAACTCAGAAACAGAGGACCTTGAAGGAAAGAGAATGTTCATATACGGTCGTTTATTGTTAGAATGTAGAAACAACTGATTTCTATATATGAATTTTATACCTCGCAAGTCTACAGAATTTATTACTTGTAACAGCTTCTTGGGACGTCTTTCAGGTTTCTGCACATGAGGCCATGTCATCTCCAGTCAGAGATGGATTTACTTTGTCATTTCCGATTTGGATGTCTGTTACTGACTTTTCTTGCCTAGCTGCTCTGACTAGGACTGAGAGTAAAAAGCATGGCAGTCGTCCAGGGTGACATTTCATAGTGATTTCCTCATGGGTTTGCTTTGCTATAGTGCTGGATAATGGGTGATTTTTCTTTACAATGTAATTAGAGTTAGCAGCTATGTGATCTAATTATAGCTAAGTCATTTCTTACAAAGATGAAAATGTGGCTAAAAAAATGGCAGCCATGAACCATAGGTTGGTGTTTCTTTCAACAAAATCTGTGTGAACAGCAGATGTCAGACCTGTTTCTTTATGCCTAGGCAGTTTTAAGAAATAGTAATGAAGCTGTAATAAGACAGAACCTGTAGAATCACCAATGCATAATACATGAGAGAAACCGATGAAAGTGCAAATGGTAGTAGTAAATGGCCAAGAGCTGTCGGAATTACCCTATATTTGAGGATAATTTTCCCTCATTGTCCCTGGCGTGATGGTGCTGCCGTTCTTTTTAGTCTTTTGGGGTCCCAGGCTGTCATAGAATTTGCCATCCGTGGTATGTGACTCTTCTTTCTAACTTGGTCTATTCAGCATGCTAATGACTAAGAAGGAGGGTGTGTTGCGGGTGGTTCTTCCTCCCACCAGCCGACACCCCACTTGGTGGCAGTTGTTCTTATGTACCCCTGTAGTTAATTTGCTAATATTTTGTTTATAATTTTAATTCCTATATGCATAAGTTTATTCCTAATTTTATTTTCTTTTAAATAACTGCAAATTTTAGTGTGAGATATATATCACCCTAATTTTCCCTGATAAAGTATATGTGAAGTATTTTGTTTTTCTATTCCGTGGGTTATTTTTTAAATATGTGTTAAAATTTATCTAAGTCATCTGAGTCTCAAGATTCTTTGACAATATGCTTTGCATGTGTATTAGCCTTTTGTTGTTGTTATACAGGTTCGATTTCTTTAACCCATATAGGACTATTCAAATTTTATAATCTTGTTTCAGTTTTGGTAAGTCATTTTTTTTTAAGTTGAATTTTTAAATTTCATCTCTTTTTGTTTTTTAAATGCTTTGATAACTATTATCTCAACTATCATATTTCTATTTTGTCTTCTCTGCTTTCCATTTTCCTTTGTTCATTTGTCTGTTATCTCTAATAATTTTGTATTGAAAGCTGAGTATTGTATTTGAAAAACTAGGGCTCTGCAGGATGTTAGCATCCTCCAAAGAGAGCTGAACCTTTCCAGTCCTAGATAGGTAGAATTGGGAGTTAATCACATTAATCTAGCGCAGCTGGATAAATAATAAAAAATACAGAGGCCCAGGCTTGTTGAAGTACCACGAGGCTTCCTTTCTCTTGATCTCGGTCACATACCACAAGGAAAAACACCATTGCTCTATTTTACCTCTCACTGTGGCTTTCCTTTCTCAGTGTTCTTTCTCTGTAATTCCTCACTGCTTCAGTATTTCCCAATGCTTTTAAATAGAACTTCCTTTTAAGTAACTTTTTTCTTTGTTTTCATCTGCTGCATTAGTATGCTGTAAACTACTATATTATTTATAGAAGCAACATTTAAGGGTCTTATTATTTTAACCACAAAACAAGAACAGATTATGGATTTAGATCTCTTTTTTTTTTTCCTCCAGGAAAAACATAAACAAGAATTGGAGGACATGAGGAAAATGGGCCATGAAGCACTTGGTATTATCGTGGATGAATATAAGGTAGAGGTTTGCCAGCTTCTCTGCTCCTTAACCCTTGGAAAACTTCAGCAAAGACTACATGTAGGCTTGTGCAGACTATGCAGATTATAGATTTACAGCGCATCCTTACTTTGTGTGGAATTCTGTTCAGCTGATCGATAAACGTTCGTTGAAAGTGTATGTAGTAGATTAGGGAGTAATACTAGATACCACTCTGCATTTAGAGACTTCAAGAATATCATCTCAGCACATGAAGATATTTAAATACAGAATACAGTAGATTTAATTGATATATCATCTTTTTTGTCTCTGATACATTTCTCTGTGATATAGGAAAGAAATTAAGATATAAAAAAATCTGAAAAATTACATATTTTTATATGAAATAAGTTAAATAGATCTGAGTACATTTCAATAATGAAAGAAGTAATGGGTCAGTGTCAATATCAGTGATGTAATAAAATTGATTTTTATAATTATCCCAGCCCTAAACTTAGTCATTTAAAACAAATTATAGATTTTAAATCCTATTCCTCATCCTAAATTCCACATCAGATCATTGTTTTTCTGCAAGTAATGACAAAGTACATTCTTGTTGAAATCAAAAGCAAACAGTTCTCTCCAGAGATAGCCACTATTGGAAGACTGGTGTACGTTTGTCTAGCTAGGATTTTTCCGTGTTTCCACAAATATACTATGTTCATATTATGTTAGCTTTGACTTGCTTTTACAAGAAAATCTTGTCTTAGCACAGTTTATTCTTTCTTCCTATATTCTGTATGATCTGTAGGTATTTTCACATAATTATGTATGAGCTTATCCTGTTTTGGTAACTGTTCTATAGTATGTCATATCATGACGTGATACATTATGACAATGAGTCACTTAAGTGTATTAAGGCTTTTTCATCGTATGTGTGCGTGGTTTTTACCATAGCTTTGTTTGATGCTCTGATCCCATTTGGTTCTAGTTCGCAGTGTTTCTTTGTAGCAAACATGTTTGCTCATATTACTTTCACGGGGCAACTCTTTAGGTTAAAACACTTAGGAAAGCTTTTCTTAGATTATTTGTAAGTAGCATTTTTACGAAACTTAATTGAGAACTACTCATTTTATCTCTTTGCCTAGGTATTGTTATTCATCGTTTTAAAAAGAGAAGATTTACATGGCATAGGTGTTATGCATCATGATTTCCTAAAACGAATTAGGAATACAATCCTATTGCCTGCAAAACTATATTTTTCGTATGATAGCTCATAGTGTGTATTTAGACAGTTTATATTTATTTGTATCAGTGAATTTTTGTGTGAATGCATTTAATACAGCTTGTCATACTGATTTACTAAAAAGTCCAGTAAATCACAAACACAAACACACACACACACACACACACACACACACACACACACACATCCAGGACAATGTTTCTATAAGATACCTTAAGAGTTATTGTGTAAGGCTCTGTCTTTAAGGTATTCTAAAAACATGAGGACAGCCTTTATAATAATATAAAAATACTAAAAATTCAAATAGAACTAGGTAGTGTTTTTTAATCTTATTGAGTTTATTGGTACCTTTACATGACAGATCTTGATTCTCATTTTATCCCCATACCCCTTCCCTCCCTTTACCCTCTCCACTCTCCCCTATTCACAAAAACTTTGTTTCCATTTTTTTCCTTTTCTCATATTTTTTATTGTAGCTTATTTCCTTTCCCCTACCCTTCCCACTTCCCCTACACCTTTAGCCCTTTACTTCGTACTTCACATTATCAGTTATACAATTTGTATATAGTTATACAATTTACACTTTTTGTTTTTCACACCAGAGAAACTATTTGGTATTTACACATCTATGTCTTGTTTATTTCACTTAAGAGTATTACTTCAATATACAACCATTTTCCTATGAATGACTCTAATTTCTTATTCTTTATGGCTGAGTAGTATTCCATTTTAGAGAAAAACCACATCTTTATCCAGTCTCCAAATGATGGGCATTTGGGCTGTTTCCAAGTTTTAGCTATTACAAATTGTGCCACTATAAACATGGGTCTGCATATATCACTAGGTATGATTCTTTTGGAAAGATACCCAGCAGAGGGATAGCTGAGTCAAATGGGACCTCTAATACTAGTTCTTTGAGGTATCTCCATATTGATTTCCATAGTGATTGCACCAGTCTGCACTTCCACCAACAATGGAGAAGGGTTCCTTTCTCCCCACAACCCCGCCAACATTGGTTATTGTTTGATTTCTTGATAGTAGCCATTTTTTGTGGGGTGAGGTGGAATCTCAGTGTTGTTTTCATCTGCATCTCTTGAATAACCAGTGATGTGGAACATTTTTTCATATATTTATTTGCTGCTTTTACTTCTTTGAGAAATGTCCGTTCATTTCAGATGCCCATTTTTTAATTGGATCTTTATATTTGGGAGGGGCCTGATTTTTTTTTGAGTTTTTTATATATTCTAGATAGTAGTCCTTTGTCTGAGAAGTAGCTGGTAAAAATTTTTTCCCACATTGTAGGTTGTCTCTTAACTCTGTGGGTAGTTTCTTTTGCAGTGCAGAAGCTTTTTAATAGATGAGATTCCAGTTGTTGATTTTTTGGTGCTAGTTCCTGTGCTACTGAGGATTTGTTCATAAAGTCTTTTCCTGTGTCAATGACTTCAAGAGTTCTGCCTAACTTATCTTCCAGTAAGGTTTAGAGTTTATGTTTTAATATTTAGATCTTTTATCCACTTGGATTTTAGTTTAGTGCATGATGAAAGATAGGGATCTAGTTTTAATCTTTGGCAGGTTGAAATAGAGTTTTTCCTGCATCATTTATTAAAGAGTCTGTCTTTCCTCCACTGAGGATGGTTGGCTGCTTTGTCAAAGATGAGGTAGCTGAGTATATCTGGAGTTGTTTCTTTATCTTCTAATCTGTTCCACTGATCCTCAGGTCTGTTTGTCTGCCATGCTGTCTTTCTCACAGTGGCTTTGTGGTATACTTTCAAGTTGGGGATTGTGATATCCCCTGCCACGTCTCTGTTGCCTAGAATGGCTGCTTTTCCTATTCTAGGTCTCTTATCATTCTAAATGAATTTTTTGATTCTTCTTTCTAGTTCTGTGAAGTATAGTGTTGGGATTTCAATTGGTATTGCATTGAATCTGTATAGCAGTTTTGAGAGTATGGCCATTTTCACTATGTTGATTCTTTCTACCCAGGAGCAGGGGTGATCTTTCCATTGTCTTATATCCCCCTCAATCTCTTTTTTTCAGAGTGCTGTAGTTTTTCAGTGTAGAGGTCTTTTGCTTCTTCTGTTAAATGGATTCCCAGATACTTCATTTTTTTGGGTGCTATTTTGAAAGGAATTGTTTGCCTAATTTCTTTCTCAGTGAGTCTCTTACTTGTGTACAAGAAGGCTATTGATTTTTCGGTGTTGACCTTGTATTCAGCTACTCTGATAAAAGTGTCAATTAAGTCGAGAAGTCTTTTGGTGGAGTTTTTTGGGTCTTGAATGTAGAGTATCATATCATCAGCAAATAATGACAGTTTAACTTCTTCCTTTCCTATCTTTATTGCTTTAATTTCTTTCTCTTGTCTAATTGCTATGGCTAATGTTTCCAGAACTATATCGAAGAGGAGCGGTGATAGTGGGCATCCTTGTCTTATTCCTGATTTTAATGTGAATGTTTTCAGTTTTTGAGCATTTAGTATGATGTTCGCTGTTGGTTTTTCATAGATAGCCTGAGATAAAGACCATCTATTCCAATTTTATGCAGGTTTTTTTTTTTATCATGAATGTGTGTCAAATTTTGTCCAAATGCATTTTCTGCATTTATTGAGATGATCATTTTGTTTTTGTCCTTGACTCTGTTAATATAGTATATTAGATTTATTGATTTATGTATGTTGAAATATCTTTGCATCCCTGGTACAAACCCGACTTGGTCAGGGTGCCTGATCCTCTTGATGACCCTCTGTATTCTATTTGGCATTAACTTATTGAGTTTTTTTGCATCTGTGTTCATTAAGGAGATTGGCCTGTAGTTCTCTTTTTAGGTTGGGTCTTTCCTTGTTTTTGGAATCAAAGTAATACTTGCTTCCAGGAATGAATTTGAAAGTATTGCTTCCCTTTCTATTTCATTGAAAAGTTTAAAGAGTAGTGGTGATAGTTCTTCTTTAAATGTCTTATAGAATTTGGCAGTGAAGCCATCATGACCTGGGCTTTTCTTTGTTGGTAAACTTTTAATTATGTTTTAAATTTCACTGATTGTAATTTGGGTGTTTGGAATTTTTTTATCTTCTTTGTTCAACTTTGGTAATTCACTAGTATCAAGAAATATGTCCATTTCTTCTGTGTTTTCCATTTTATTAGAATACAGGTTCTTGAAGGAGGTACCGATGATTTTCTGGATTTCTGCTTGATCTGTTGTAACTTCACCTTTTTTGTCCCTGATTGCATGGATCTGAGCCTTTTCTTTCCTTTTTTTTTGATAAGGTTGGCCATGGATTTATCAATTTTGTTTATTCTTTCAAAAAATCAAATCTTTGATTCATTGATTTTTTTTTTTGTATCATTCTCTTAGTTTCCACTGCATTCATTTCTGCTCTGATCTTTATAATTTCCTCCCTTGTATGAGCTTTGGGTTTTTCTTGGTCGTCTTTTTCTAGGAGCCTAAGATTCATCATTAGGTTGTTTATTTGAGCTCATTCTGTTTTCCTAGTGTGGGCATTCACTGCTATGAGTCTTCCACGTAGAACTACTTTCATTGTGTCCCATAGATTCCTGTACGTTGTATTGGCATTATCATTTTCCTTGCCTTGCCTGCCTAGTTTGCTCTTTTGGGCCTCATGGTGTTGTGACCTTCATTGTCTTTTTCTAGAATATTGTTTAGAATTATTTGGAGTGCTGATTTGGTATTCAGGAAGTTTCTCAGGTGTTGTCATGTAAGTATCTTATTTCCCCATCAATTCTGAAAGATAATTTTGCAGGATATGTCAGTCTTGGTTGGAGGTTCTTTTCTTTTAGGGCTT